AACTCGAGATAGGGTTTTGTGAATAAACCAAGAGTTCAATAAAGATATTTATTATTCATTTACTATTACCTTTTGCCATGTTTTCATATTGGCATAATTGTGATAAAGTTATTGTGATTAATTCGACGGACTGAATTGTATCATCTAAGTCTTATTTTCAGCCCTCTGGCTAACAAAGTGGTGATTTTTGCTAGGCTCTCTAGCCTTATAGTAAATGAATTCAAACTTATATCTTACATTACAAAAAATCATATACAGCAGTACGCTGAAAACAAATCTTACTTATCAACAGATTATACTTGTCTAATTTGCTATCCAATTCCAGAAAAAGAAATATTATTATATTTCATATATTTTGGAACTGGATTAGTACTGAATTTGGTGTTCTAGTTTATACCAGAAAAATGATTTTATTATTTGATCAACTGCATTAACAATTTATTAATTTCCAACTTATAAAAGTATTGAAAAAAAAGCTAAGCGATTATTATATAGTTTAAAATTTGTAAACCCTTTTGACTATGAATTCGATTTTGATTTCATAGCAATAAGAATTTTAGAAGAAGTACAACGTTCAAATAATTTTAATTATCCTATATCAACAGAATTTGAACCATTAATACCTCTTTTTCTAAAATCAATCAAAATGGATCAAGATCAATTCAATGCACTTATAGCTCAGTTTACTACCTCTTTGAATATAATATCTAATCGATTAAATATAAATAGGCCATGACAATCTCCCAGAAAAACTAATTTAGTTCTTGTTTGACGATTTTCTGGAAAAACTGATGAGGATCCAAACAATTGGCTTATTCACTTTAAAAAAGCTGCTAAAGCAAATAATTGGACTTCAGAAAGAGTATTAGAAATAGTTGGTGGATTTCTTGAAGGAATGATAGCTGTTTGGTATAAAGATACTGACTTTCAAAGTTGAAGAGATCCAGACGAAGTAGAATTAGAAGAAGAGAATGATAATCAAATTAATAATGATCAACCTAGATCTAACTCTTTTGTATTCAAATTCTTGAATCATTTTTCTACCATTGAACAACAGAATAAATGGCATTATGAACTAAATGAAATTTTATAAGGAAAAGATGAAAAAGTAGAATCTTATTTCTAATCGATTTGGAAGACTTAAAAAGAAAGTAGATTCAAATGGAAATTTACCTGATTAATATGTTATTAGATTATTTTTGAAAGGACTTTGAAAAGATCTTGTCAGATAAGTTGCAGCAAAGAAACCTGAGACTATTAATGAAGTAATTCAAGAAGCCATTGATTATAAAGCTGGATTTTATTTTGAAAGACAAGCCGAAAGATATGAAAGACAATTGAAAGAAAAACTAAAAGTTCTAATAATGATGCAATGGAAGCACTTGCAAAACAAATGGAAAAGCTCACTTTTAATTATGCTAATATTGTCTCTGCTCTAAGTGCTCAAATTCAGTTAAAACTTAGGACCCTAATACAAAATGTGATAAATCCCAAATCACTTGTTTTAAATGTCAAAAGAAAGGTAATTATGCTAAAAAATGTAATAGAACTCAACAGAAAAGAAGGGATGCTAATATGGTTGAATTATATTCTGATTTAGACTCAGAAGAAGAATAAGAAGAATATGAGGAAGTTTATGCTACCCCTAGAGTTAAAGTTTCCCCTTATAATATTAACAGAAAGGATGCAAAGGATAGAGTTAGAAAAGCAATTGAATCCTGACCTGAAATAAGATTAAGAAATAGGAATGTAGATAAATCAACTAGAATCCTCATAATTGATCCAATATTTAATGAAAATGAAGAAGAAATTATTGCTCTAAGACCAACTCCTAAAACTTCTCGAAAAAAGATTCCTTGTACACCTTCTGCTATTGATCTACTTGCCTCATATAATGTTGCTGAAGATATTCTTAATTTACCTTCTTTTGCAAAACTTGGCCAATGGTTAAAATACCCAGATCAAAGAAGAAATTTAGCTAACGCGTTAAAAAGAGCTATTGTTAAAGAAACTAACAATATTGGAATAGATGACGAATATATTAGTGATGATAATAATGATGAAACTCCTACAATACTGTCTGATATAATATATAAATAAATCATCAGAATATACAAGCTATTCTTGACTCAGAAGTTGCTATCAGTATTATTACTAGTAGTTTAGTTAAAAGACTTAATTAAGAATTGACAAATCATCTAAAATTATTATTAATACTGTTAATAGAAAAAAAGCAAGAGCATTAGGAAAAATTAACACTGTCAAGATCATTATTAAACCTATTAGAATGCCTATTACTTTACAAGTATTTGAATCCCCTGATGAAAATTTATTACTAGGAACAGATTGGTTCAAACATACTAAAGCAGTTCTCAATTTTGATGAAGGAAAATTAAGATTTAAATATCTTACTAAAGCTGCATCCATAACCAATTACTTACTATGATAATTCATCATTTGAATTAGATGAAAATCCTGATATTTCAATAAATGAACTTATCGATGTAATTGAAGATTTAACAAATAATGATCAATATGAAGATGAATACTTTGATAAAAGGGATATTTTCTTTCTTCATAGTGAAGAAAACACTTCCGATGAAAATGAAAAGTCTTTTGATTTCAATGAAACAGAATTATTTGCTAATCCTTGGAAAAATAATCCTGCTGTCTTTTTAGCTCAAACTGAAAAGGAAACATTGAAAATAATGAATAAAACATTAAAGAAGACCTACATGTTAGACCTTTAGAAATCTCTCAACAAGAAATTTTTGATCAATTTATTGAAGATAATAAGGATATTTGTGCACTTAGTCAAACAAAAATTGGTCATACTACTCTTTTTCAACATCAAATACCAACTGGAGATCATGAACCAATTATAAGTCCTGCATACCATTTAAAGGATCATGCTAAATTAAACTTTCTTTAATCAAAAATAAAAAGAATGAAAGAAAATAATATTATTCAAAGATCTAAAAGTCCTTGAGCTTCCCCTGTAGTTATTGTATCAAAGAAGACTGGAGATTCTAGAATTTGAATTGATTATAGAAAACTTAATACTATTATTAAAGGAGATGCTTACCCTTTATCATTAATCGATGATTTGTTAGAAAAATTTAGAAATGCAAGTTGGTTCTCTACATTAGATCTTACTAGTGGATATTGGCAAGTGAAAATGGAAGAAGCTGATAGAGAAAAGACTGCCTTCATTTGTCAATATAGTTTATATGAATTTAAAAAGATGTCTTTTAGATTGAAAAATACTTCTGGAACTTTTCAACGACTCATAAATTATATCTTGCAAGATTATTTATATAAATTCGTAGCTGTATACTTGGATGATATTATAATCTACTCATCCTCTTATGAAGAACATGTTAGACACTTACAACTTGTATTCAATGTGATTAGAGAAGCAAAGTTAATGATCAAACTTAAAAAGTGCCAATTCTGTCTACCAAATATTCTATTTCTTGGACATATCATAGAAAGGAATGGTTTACAATCTGATCCTGAAAAAATTAGAAAAATTAAAGAATTATCTGCTCCACAAGGATTAACTGAATTAAGAGCAGAATTAGGATTATTTTCATACTATAGAAAATTTGTTAAAGGATCCTCTCAGATAGCCAAACCTTTAACTATTTTATTAAAGAAAGATACATCATATAATTGGACAGAAATTCAACAGAAATCTTTTGATACACTGAAAAATAAGTTGATTATATCACCTATCCTTTAATATCCAAATTTCTCTAAACCTTTTACTTTATATGCTGATGCTTCAGGAGTAGGATTGGGTGTTATGTTATCTCAAATGAATGAAGATAATAATGAATATGTAATTACTTATGCTAGTAAAAGTATGAATAAAGCAGAACAAAATTATCCTATTACTGATCAGAAATGTCTCGCAGTAGTATAGGCTATTAGTAAAGATGGCTCTGCAACTTATAAGTTGCGGATTAAGTTTCGGATTTTAGGTTGCAACTATTATGAATTTTAAAAAAATAATTCCACAATATCCGCAAATTCACAATTAATCCGCATGTTTACAATTAATTTATTAATATAAAATTAATCTGCTATACATGTCACAATAATTATTAAATACATAAATTTATATAATTTATAATTTTAACAAAGATATTAATCAAATTTTATTAGATTAAA